CCGCCTCTTCCCCTCTCTTCTCTCCCACTGCCTGTCCCCACCTGCAGTTTTGCAGTGTCATCATCTAAGATGCCCTTCTAGATCGCTGACGTCTTCAGGTGTTCCTGGCAAAGCCGGCAGCAACCTATTGTTGTACTTAATAGTAGGAGGAACAGTCACTGGGACAGGAGCTTATGTAAGATGCTTAATAAATGTGGTTTGGGGGGAGGGGGGGGAGGGCACCTCTGCATGTCCTGCGAGTTAGCCGTCTGCCTTCACTCAACTGCCTTTGTGCTCCTTGCTCTCAGAGATGTGATTTCAGGGGACACTGTCAAATCGTTCAGGTTGTAGATTTGATGTTCTCAAACCGCGTAGTTCTTGGGGGGGAAAAATGGTGCAGAACGGTGCCTCGATGCCATGAGATTCGAAGGTGAATGTCTCCTGTCTGCCTCCAGGTGTACAAGACGTTGAGAGAACACAAGGAGCGATACATCAACCGGGTCACAGCAATAACCACGCGATCGCAGAGCCAGTCGTCTCCCTCCGGTGGGTACTGCCCTGCTCGTTCGAGGCTTGGGGCTGGTTTTCCTAACCTGCTGACCCCTGAAGCCAACACAACAGAGCCCTTCTGGAAACACACGTTAGCGTCAGCGGTGCCTTCGCAGCACCGGCCCCGCTCGTGCGCCCGCGTCTTCCCCGCACAGGCGGGGGGGGTGGGCTTCCCCCGGGAGCAAGGCTCTGGTGCACGCGTAATCGTGAGGACGGAGCAGGTTGCCTCTCGGGGCTCCTTTCTGTCCTCTGTGACAAAGGAGAAGAGAGTTGAGCCCTGCTGTTAGCTCTTACCCTTACGCCGTCTGGCAGAGGGGTATCCAGAGGGATAATGTGTTCTGCCAGCACAGAATCCTGTGCTCTGCCACGTCCCCGTCCCGTGCACGGTGGGCTGAGCCCGCGAGAAGTGCTGTGCTTGGGCCACGTGCAGGGGGAGCAATCGGGCCCGTTAATTAGGGTCTCGGTGGTCCCTTGAGGGCGGCAGGCGGAAATGCTCCCTCAGTCTGTGAGATCTCAAAGTGCTGAGCCAGAGGATGATGGCTGTGACAAGTAGCTTTGGGTCCGAGAAGGGGGCTGTTGTGTCACCTGATGGGGCATCCAACGAAGAATACTCTGCAGGCAGGACAGAGAGCTGGTTGCTTTGGTTTGAGGGGGAGGGTGAAACACGCCGAGCAGGGCTGAGGCTGGCGGGTGAGAGCCTGAGCGCTGAAGCAGAGGTCTCGGCAAGGCTGTGCGTGCGGCGGCTCTGTCCCTGTGATGTGGGGAGCCTGTTCATCCTTCGGTCTCCCGAGCCAGCCCCGGCCTGCCGCTCCCTGACCGCCCTGTCCCTGGTAGCCCGCTCTGCGCAATTAAGTCGGTGTCTTCTCTTTCAGACACAGATGCTGCTCCTCGGGGCACAGCAGGTGAGTCTCGGCGGTGATTGTTAACGGGCTGGTGTATCCCCACGGGCAGTATAACTGCATGTGGCTTAGAAACGGGACCTGCGTGTGGGGTGAAACGCATCCTGCTGGGATCTCTGGAGTTGGTCTCCTTTCAGAATACAATCACGGAAAAATAGGCCTTGGCATTTTAGGGAGCCTCTACGTTCTTATGAACTGCTCACTGAATGGCCAGCGCAGAGGTTTGGTCTTGCTGGCGCGTTGGTTTGTGTTCTCCAGAAGACACGCAGCTCCGTCAAACGCTGCGCGCTTCCTGTTTTCCAAATAGCTGTGACAGATGCTGATTTCACTAACGCCCCGCTCAGGTCTCTTCTGGTGTGTCGAATAATCCTTTGGCCGTGTCCCTCTTGCTGGCTCAGCCAACTGTCACCGCAGAACCCGAGCGCGGGATCGCTCGTGCCTTGTTTGGCCAGAGCAGAGTCCAGGCGTGTGCCTCCTGTGCTGAATCCACTGGACAGGGAACGCCCTGATCGCATGTGCAGCTCCTGAAATTGTGTATTGGATGCTGGAAATGAACTCCGGGGGTCTCTGACGTTGTCCCCGAGCTCAGCTGGGCGGGTCTCGCTTAAAACAAATGGTTTGGAATCCGGCGGTTGGATGTGTGCCGGGAGCCAGCTTTGGCGGAGCGTGGTTCCCCGGGCGCGTAGCGGGCTGGAAGGGCAGTGGAGGAGGAGGGCGGCTTGCCAAGGGAAGTCTGTATGTGGAAGGCATCGGGTGCCAGGCTGGATGGGGCTTGGAGCAACCTGGGCTATGGAAGGTGTCCCTGCCCATGGCAGGGGGTGGGGCTGGGGGAGCTTTGAGGTCCCTTCCCACCCAAACCATCCCAGGATTCCGTGACTGTTCCTTGGGGCTGGCTGTTTGCCCTGCTGTATTTGGGGTAAGCTGTCCGTCTGTCACCTGCAGCTCTAGCTCGCCCGGGGGTCCCATCCCCCGTCCCTTGCCTGCTGATCGGTGGAGGAACTGCTGCTTTTGCTGCTGCCAGATCCATTCGGGCTCGTGACCCTGGTGCCCGGGTAAGAGCTGCCCTGCCCCAGAGCAGCGCGCTGGGGGTGGGCGAGTGCTGCGCGTGCTGCGGAGCCCCTGCGGTGTGCTGGGGCGGTTGCCAGGCACCGGGACAGCCCCTGTCTTTAATGACCAACTAAAGGTGCTGATCGTGTCTGAAGATCCCGCCCTGCCCTACATGCGCCCTCCTCTTTCCAAAGAACTGTGGTTTTCCGACGATCCCGACGTGACAGAGACTCTGCGATTCAAGCAGTGGAACGGCAAGGAGAGGAGGTACGTGTCGCTGGCGGGTAGCGCAGAGCGGAGGGACCCGAGTGCTGCCTGGGCACGTGGCTGGGCGGGGTTCTGTGCTGGCGTCGCGGTGCCGAGCCCTGGGGTGTGCGTGTGGCCGTGTGCCTCGTGCCCAGGCTGACGGAGGGAGGGGCAGCGTTGCACGCTGTGTGCAGAGCTTGTGGGGTGTTCGGCACCGGAGATGCCGAGATGCTGCAAGGGAGCCGGGCGCTAAGGAATGGAGGGAAAGGTGGGGCAGTGCTGGCAGGTCTCGAGAGGAGTGCCGCTTCACACCTGAGCGTTAGCGCTCAACAGCGCTTGAGTCTTGCTGTGATGCCCATAGACGCACGCCAGATCTGGCAGAAATCCTGTCAAATCGGTAACAGTAAAGGTGAGGGTCTGGCTTCCCAGTTCAGAGCATCCAGCTCTGGGCCCCAGCAGCAGGAGGACACGGAGCTGTGGGAGTGAGGCCAGAGGAGGCCACAGAGATGCTCCGAGGGCTGGAGCCCCTCTGCCCTGGGGACAGGCTGGGGGAGTTGGGGGGTTCAGCCTGGAGAAGGGAAGCTCCGGGGAGACCTCAGAGCCCCTTCCAGTGCCTGGGGGGCTACAAGAAAGCTGGGGGGGCTTTTCCCAAGGGCAGGGAGTGACAGGACAAGGGGTAACGGGTTTAAATGGGAAGAGGGAGATGGAGATGGGACATCAGGAAGGAATCCTTCCCACAGAGGGTGGGGAGGCACTGGGACAGGTTGCCCAGAGAAGCTGTGGATGCCCCATCCCTGGGAGAGTCCAAGGCCAGGCTGGATGAGGCTTGGAGCACCCTGGGCTATGGAAGGTGTCCCTGCCTGTGGCAGCGGGTGGGACTGGGTGGCTTTAGGGTCCCTTCCCACCCAAACTATTCCAGGATTCCATGACTGTGGCTCTCATTTAATTCTTGTGACTTTCATGGTCAAGCCTTGTTGATCTAAACCCTGGAACTTCAAAGGTGTGAACACCCTAATTCTTTAAGGTAGATAAGGAATTCTTCACAGAGAGGGTGGGGAGGCACTGGAACAGGTTGCCCAGAGAAGCTGTGGATGCCCCATCCCTGGATGTCTTCAAGGCCAGGCTGGATGAGACTTGGAGCAACCTGGTCTAGTGGAAGGTGTCCCTGCCCATGGCAGGGGGGTTGGAACTAGATGATCTTTAAGGTCCCTTCCAACCCAAACCATTCTGTGATTCTGTGATTCTATAAGTACGAATTCTGGAGGTGGTTGGATGCGTAGGGTTGTCTTTGTATCACGGGTGACTGTTGTCGGCCGGTATCGCAGAGGGAGCAGAACCCACGTGGTAACGGAGCTTCTTTCAGTATCTATTTCCAGCCGCCGTCATTCTACGTGCCCGTGGGGGACCTGCCTTTCATAGAGCACGGCGGAGTAGCAGTTCTCCGTGGCAAGAAGGTGGGTACAGCGCCGGCGGCTGTTCCGGCATCACGCTCCTTCCCAGGCAGAGCCTGGGAGCCGAGCTGGAGCTCAGCAAGCCGACGGCGGTGCGGAGGGTTGGCTGCGGAGGGGAGCGCCTGCAGGTGTGGGGAAGTGGGGAGGGATGGACTATGCTTCCCGTAAGGACAGCGGGAGTGACGTTTGAAAGTGGGAGAAGCCATGAGCAGTGAGCGGAGGGAGAGGGAACGTGGGACAGGGACACGCAGACGCGGTGACAGAGTGGGAACTGGGCTGCGGTCAGAGGGAGAGTGATCCGAGTGGTGGATCACTCTATAGTGATAGTGGGGGCAAGAGCATTGTGCAGGAACAGCAGGAAGGTGGAAAAGTTCATGGTGAGGCTTCTGACACGTCTGCTACCTCCGTGTCTTACACGCCGCTGGAATATGGTTCCAGCCACGTTGGGCGTCTGAGCCCAGTGCTCCTGGGAAGACCAACCTGGCTGCCGGAGGAGTTGTCTCAGTTCCTCCTTCCAGCCTCCCTTTCCCCTCCCAGTCCCCAAAATGTAACGCTGGGCGAATGTTACCTCCAAGCTGGCTCCTCTGAGCACCAGCTGAACTCGAGCGACCTGCGGCGGGTGGAAGCTTGAGCTCTCCTGCTTGTCTGATTCTGCAGGTTGTGCATATGGATGTGAGAGGGAACCTGGTGAAGCTCAGCGATGGCACCCAGATATCCTATGACAAATGTCTGATTGCCACTGGTAAGGTGTTGGCGTTCTCCCCTGGGCTCTGCGGCTTGTGCCGGCCGTTCTGTTGTAGCGGCGTCTGGCCGACGGGAGCTCCCGCGGTACGTGGAATGCTTGGTTGGGCAGGCGCAGGCCGCCCAGCCGTCAGGGTTGTTACCTCCCTCGCTTCCGCCAGCTTCTCTGGGATGCTGGGAAGGTCTTTCCTGTTAACAGCCCAGACGGCGACAGGGACTAGAGCATTTTGTAACAGTTTGGAAAGCTCAGCCCAGATGGAAGATAGCTTTGCGCTGCGTGGGAAGCCAGCGACGTGGTCACGGTACCATTCTGTCTCCCTCCCCCTTGTCCCCAGGTGGTTCCCCAAGGAATCTACCCGCCATCGAAAGAGCAGGAAAAGATGTACAACAGAGGCTGACGCTGTTCCGAAGGGTAATCTCGGGGTGCTGCTGGTGCTGGGCGGGGGCTGAACACGTCCGAGCCACTACCGCTGTTCCCAGCTCTGTAACTCTTCCGCTTTGGGTCCGGGGCAGCTTTTCCTTGGCAGCTGCTTCCCCCAGCTGGTCTGCTCCCCATTCCTTTTCCCCAGGCAGGTAAACAGGGCAGGGCCTTCTGGAGAGCACTCTGCTTGCCTCAGGCCCCAGAGCTGCGACAGCGGGAGTGGGGGTGGGGGTAGTTTTCCGCCTGCATCACTTCGCTGCACCTTCCAGGCCGCGTGGTAAGCGCCGCGGTCAGTGCGGGCCGCGAGCGGCGGGAGCCTTCCGGGGCGTGAGGAGGCACAGGGAGCTACCTCAGTACTCCAGCCTGGCAGCCCTCTGGAATGAGTGTGTGCCACAGTTCTGCCGCACCTGGGCAAGAGACGGGGCAGAGGCTGCTCTGAAACCCCAGCGGGTGTGAAGCTGAGGGAGGTTTAGGTTAGACATCAGGAAGGAATTCTTCCTGCAGAGGGTGGGAGCACTGGGACAGGTTCCCAGAGAAGCTGTGGATGCCCCATCCCTGGGAGTGTCCAAGGCCAGACTGGATGAGGCTTGGAGCACCCTGGGCTATGGAAGGTGTCCCTGCCCGTGGCAGGGGGTTGGAACTGCGGGGCTTTAACGTCCCTTCCCGCCCAAACCATTCTGTGATTCTACGATCCCGGGAGCTCCTGGGCTGGCTTACACCATTCTCTGATGAACTGAGACCCTGGTATCCCTGCTTCCTCCGGGGCATTCCGTCACCTTCAACCTGTACCTTGGGACAAGGTGAATGGAAGATGTGGAGGTTGGTCAGTGGGTGTCTGGTTTGCGCCGTGGAGTTGCTTTTTGTGGACAAGCTCCACTTTTCATGAAAACACGGGCTTTAGAACAGGGACACACCCTTCCGCTTAGCCTAGTTCAGGGAATGAGTAAGGAGTAAGGTGCTGTAGGGGAACTTCCTGCTCAGTGCTGGACTTCCCCGAAGGTCTGGTCTGGGAAGGCAGAGCTGGACGACGTGAGCTGGGGCGTCCTCCTAGAGCTGTACGTGCTGCAGTACGTCTGCACCTGGGAATTGCATTGTAATTGCCCTTCAGAGCCAGGGGAGGATGCCGGACTGAGGTCGCCTGGGCAGGAAGAGCTTGCCCAGACTTTAGGAAGCCACGGAGCTTCTTTCTGTGCAAGAGACAAACGGGAGGAAGGAGAAACGTTTCCTTTTTGACGCTGGGGAGTCGCTTGCATGTCAGAGGGAGAAATTGGAGAAGAAGGTCTGCTGCTGCCATTCCTGTTTGAGGATGTTTGAAATGGGAATAAATCTTCTTTCAGATTGAGGACTTCAGAAGCCTGGAGAAGATTTCCAGGGAAGTCAAGTCCATCACAATTATCGGTGGTGGTTTTCTCGGCAGCGAGCTGGCCTGTGCTCTGGGAAGGAGAGGTGGGTGTGCTGCAGCAGCTTGTCCTCAGCGGGCACCTTGGCAGGAGCGGGAGGCCTTGGGTGTAGGGTTTGCTGAGCTGGCCTCCCGGGAAGCCCTGCAGGTGGCAGGGTCATTCCTCCTCGTAAATCGTAACTGTGAAGTGCAAAAAGTGGGCCTACAAGGAAGGTGTGTGTGGGGGGACTTTTTCCAAGGGCAGGGAGTGACAGGACAAGGGAGGTGACAGGGCAGGGAGATGGAGATGGGCCATCAGGAAGGAATTCTTCCCGCAGAGGGTGGGAGCACTGGGACAGGTTCCCAGAGAAGCTGTGGATGCCCCATCCCTGGGAATGTCCAAGGCCAGGCTGGATGAGGCTTGGAGCACCCTGGGCTATGGAAGGTGTCCCTGCCCGTGGCAGGGGGGTGGAAATGGGGGATCTTTAAGGTCCCTTCCAGCCCAAACTGTTCTGTGGTTCTATGATTCTATGAAAAAGCCACCCTAAAACTCCTTTCAAAGAGGTTGTGAACAACTGGATTCTCACTGTCCAGCACGTGCAGCTTTTTGAGTGCCTCTGTGGTAATTCTAACAGGAGAAGCCAGAACTCCACGATCTGGAAATTTCTGTCAAGCTCCTTGCGTCAAGTCAAGCTTCTGCTTGTGTCCTGAGTGCTGCTCTGCACCCATGGGTTGTAAGAAGCCTGCTCTTTGCCTTCCTTTCAGCACGAAGCAGAGGCCTGGAGGTGATTCAGCTCTTCCCAGAGAACGGGAATATGGGCAAAGTCTTGCCAGAATATCTGAGCAACTGGACCACGGAGAAAGTCAGACGAGGTGAAGCTGCTCCTCCTCTGCAAGGGGCGGGGCTGTGGGTTTAGGCCAGTGGCGTTTGTGTAGCTGAAGTGGGCAAGACCCGAGCCCCTTGTTCCATTTGCTGCGTTAGTGCAGAGTATATTCCCGTGTGTTGGGAAGTGGGGGATAGAGGGAGGGGGGATAGAGCTGGGGCAGCAGACTGCAGGGCCTGAGAACCCACAGGTTAGAATAGAATCGGAGAATCTTTAGGTTAGGAAAGCCCTTTAAGCCCATCCGGTCCAAGCGTTCCCCCCGCACAGCCCAGCCCACCCCAACCCGTGTCCCTCAGCACCTCATCCGCACGGCTCCTAAATCCCTCCAGGGATGGTGACCCCCCCCCTCCCTGGGCAGCCCCTTCCAACCCTGCCAGCCCTTCCCGGGAAGGGATTTCCCTGATACCCCACCTAAACCTCCCCTGGCACAACCTGAGGCCGTTCCCTCTTCTCCTGTCCCTGGGGAGAAGACACCGACCCCCCCCCAGCTCTGCCCCCTCCTCTCAGGGAGCCGGAGGGAGCCATCAGGTCTCCCTGGGCTGCCTCCTCCCGGCTGAAGTTGCTGTTCCTAACCCGGCCCCTGCTCTGCCGCGTCGGTTTGCACCAAAGACGCCGTCTGCTCCGGAGCAAGCAGTTACGGTCCCTGTGTTTGTTTCCAGAGGGGGTTCATGTCATGCCAAACGCCGTGGTCAAGTCGGTCTCTGTCTCCGGCAATCGGCTGGGGATTAAACTGAAAGATGGCCGAAAGGTAAACCTAAACGCAGGGAGAGGGGCACATTCGCAGGGGCGGTGCGAGAATGAAGATGGTCATGACGAGGTCCCCCTCAGGTGGAGACTGATCACATCGTGGCCGCGGTGGGGCTGGAGCCCAACGTGGAATTAGCCAAGTCAGCTGGGCTGGAGGTGGACTCTGACTTCGGAGGGTTCCGGGTGAACGCGGAGCTGCAGGCACGCTCCAATATCTGGGTGGTGAGTATGTGCAGAGTTTGCTGTCGGCGGGTTGTGCCCGTGAAGTCGGAGTACGCAGAGTTGCGGGGGCTGGCGTGCCTCCATGAGGAGAACGGGGCAAATGTCACAGGTAACGAGCCCCACTGTGGTGCAGCTCCTGCGGGCAGCCGTGGGTCTGCTCACGCGTCGTTGCTGCGGTAACGACTGTGAGTTTTTGGGTGTTCATGCTGGGTTGGGGAAGTCGGGGTAACCCAGTGACAGCACGGCTTGCTCTGTTGCCCAAGAGCCCCTTTGATGTGAGGCGAGACTTTACTTCCTGTGGAAAAACACAGCTGATGCCGCCGCCTTTTCGCAAAGATGGGTGAAAAATGCTGAGAAACTGGGACTTGTGTAGCCTGGGGAGCGGGACACGGTGGTGGTGGTGTTTGGGGGTTGTCAGCAGACCTCGGTTCACAGTTCCCCTTCGCTCTCTCCCCGGTGCCTTTCTTGTTTGAACCTCGATTTAAGCTTTTGATGTCCTTGTTGGGTCCTCGCCAAACGGTTCTTTCTCAGGCAGGGGATGCTGCCTGCTTCTATGATATCAAGCTGGGGAGGAGACGTGTGGAGCACCATGATCATGCTGTCGTGAGCGGAAGGCTGGCTGGAGAGAACATGACGGGAGCTGCGAAGCCCTACTGGCATCAGTCCATGTTCTGGTGATGGTTTCTCCTTGGGTTTCTCTTCTCTGCCCATGTTGCAGGAGCCACGAGGAGATAGACCTTGTGAAGGCTTCAAGCGTTGCCTGAGCGTAGCGAAGCTGCTTCAGCTTCCAGCCGCGAGCAGCCCTTAAGGAGTTTCAGTGCTTGTTCCTGCAACTGGCTTCTCCTGCGGCTGGTGGCTTCTCCTGCGGCTGGTGGCCGCAGATTCGCGGTGTCGGGACTCCTGGTTCCACACTAACGTGCGCAGACGAGACCGACGCGTTGCAGTCGGCCTGCGCACCGCCATCTCTCGCACGCCACCGGCGTTGAGGGCTCGGGGTGGGTGGAATCGCCCTGCGTGCATCTCACCAGCGCTTTTCCATTCTCAGGAGCGATCTGGGCCCTAACGTGGGGTACGAAGCCATTGGC